GCAGCCTTGATTATATGTAGCGTGTATCGCGGTAACTATGCAGGCATTTTGTTTTGTCGAGTATTTACCAGTTTTCTATTCAAATGGTTGTCTTCGTTAAGTGGGATTTTAGCACTGCGCAGGTAGGCGTGGTTTAATGAAGAACGACCAGTCAAATACAGCCACTGTATGGCTACTATGTTACTTACCACTAAGTGTATACCGCCCTCTGGCCCAAGTTGCCTAGCGACCGGTTAGGTCGGGGTTAGAAATGAGTTCGAGAAGTCGTTGTTTGTGTTTAATAAAAAAAACTCATTAAACTTTGAATCTTGCCCGCCACCCAGATAATCACTCTGCTTCAGAAATTCTTCTCCCTACTGCAGGTCAAATATACTGGTCACATTTGCAATAAAGTGTGATTTTTAGTGAAATTTCTATATGTTTTAATCTATTATAAGTTCTGATGGCTAGATATTTGTTATTACTGTGTCTAATTAATTACCGAGGTACAGTACTCTATTTGCATAATTCCATTGGCTAATACATTTATTTATTTTTATTATTACCTACAACTCTCGTCTTACAAATACTAATTATTCTACAGTCCATTAAAAGAAGTAATACATGCTTTAATGGATATTTCTGCAATATATTATGATACTGGAATCCTTGTAATCAATTATAAATGCCTCGCCTACAAAGCAGGTAATTCATCCGAGAGGCTAAAGTCATTGTTAATCTCTTAAAGTACTTCCACTTCTAATAACTAGAATGTGCTTCTAGGAATACTTAAAACAGAGTTACTGTTGGTATGCAAAACAAAATATATAAAATATCACAGATATTTTCCGCTGACGACTTCAGCAACAGATACCCAATATGGTAGTTGGAAATTTTGTTTACTTGCTTTACTGAACTTTGCTTTAAAAGGATGGGTACAACTACATTTATGTAACCTGAATTTGAGATCTGTAACACAAAAGGATTTAGGTGAATGGAACTCAACTGGGGTGAATAAGGATCTCCATGGTTCAATAAACACACCAACACAAACAATGTTTCTCTTTTTATAAAAATGATTTGTAGTCAGATAAGATAATCTCAACTGCAAGTGTAATTTTTGTTTAATCATGGGTACTACTTCCTCAAAAATATTTTTCCTTCCCATGGGTCCAATGATGACTGGGTTTGTCAGAGACCCTGAATAGTCATATCACCTATTACATGTTCTAATATTTTTGTTTGGAGGGAAAACTGAGAATGGAATTGATTTTGGGATCAAGACTAAACCCAGACCTTAGGAGAGAAGACAAGTCCCAAATCAAAAAATCTAGTCCAAGACTCTAAACAAAAGCATCTTTCTTCTCAATCTTATTCTACTACACATAGTAAATTCTCATTAAATTTAAGATGCTACCTAATATCAAGTAATATAGGATATAGGGATATTAAGTGATACCCTGCAAATTTATATTAGCATTTGAAACAGAAACTTAACACTTTATTCGTGGGCTGATGTCTGATGCCGTCTAGTGACATTACCTAGCTAATAGCAGAGACTTGGTCATCATGGCAAAATATTTAAATGAGAACTATTCAATTATAACCTTTATTATTAAAATGTGATCAAAATCAATTGAATGTTATAGTTCATTAAATGTGGAACTTCTAGTACAGCTTTTATTTTCAAAACCCACCACTGAGAATCTCGGTTATTTTTTGTCTGTTCTTTAGCTTACTAGTGGCTTGATATGAAAATCAGGAAATGACAAAAAATGTATCCTTTCCTCGCAATTTTCGCAATAAATTGTAATAAAAAAATATTTTCTCCTGATTAAAGGATTTATCAATGAAACTGTTTACGTTGGTATATTAAGATTTATTATATTACCATTTACAATGTGGTCTTGCACAAGAATCAACAATGGGGACTTGATCATATTTCTTAAACCCACACCACCCACAACAAGATTACAATCTTTTTCAGATGTAGGCCTACTGTATATTGGGAAAAAAATCGGCTTTTAAAAGGTCGTGTGTCCATACCAGTCTCGGAAATCATTAGGCTGCTTTTATTTATGTCTAATTAATCAGCCAAGCTAAAATCAACATAAGCCTTGAGCTACTTTCATTGAACCTGTTTGGCACACAATAGTTGTGGTTCTGCTTCTCAACCTGGAGGTCGGAGGTTCAATCCTTCTCTGGTCTATTTCACTTGTGTCCATTAGCAAGGCACTTTAAATAACTAGAATTATCTCTCTCCATACAGGAGTACAAATGGGTACGTGGTAGGTTCAAACACAAAATGCACTGTGTACCGACCATGGAATTCTCCCCAGAGCTAAGTACATGTTTGATCCAAGGTGATAATAATGTGAAGCACTTCTAACTTGTTTGTATGAAGCACTGTCTATCGTATTATTATTATTATAATAGAAACCTGTTATTTACAATGCTGACTCATCACAATCAATCGCTAGATGCTCTAAACATCCTTCTCAGTTAAGATTTGCTCATTAGAAAACAATCACTTAATCAATAATTATGTGTAATCTAGAATAACATTACTAAGCACAAACTCCATGGCATCTGGACTTGGTTGGCTGAGTTCAGAAGCTTCAGGTGCAGAAATACTACCAGCTTACTAAGGGTCTCGCTGAAACTAACAACACTGAAACTGATAACAATTCAAGAATTCTGAAACTAACGAAAGCTGGAAAAAAACGTAATTTAACTGACACAAATTTTAAAGAGCCTGGCAATTGTATGTATAATCACAGATCCTCTATATAGGCCTATAGGATTTGTGGTATAATGTTTGCATATATAAACAGCCTATGTAATGTATGTAGCTCTATTGTATATACATGAATATTTGGTATATAAATAGGCCCTACTTGTTGTGTTTATGATGTATGTAGGCCTACATCCACTCTACTAAAATTTAGGTTATCCTTAAATTTGTTGAAGGAAACTGAAATATTATATGGTGCTGAAATTTTATTTTGCATTCAAATCACTATCTACTTTATATTCTTAAGTAATGCAATTTTGTGCACAAATACATTTGGTCTAATATTTCATCATATAAAAATTGCCCAATAAAAAAATAGCTTAACATCTGCTGTTTATAAACTGGTAAACTTATTTTTGTGACTAAGTGTGATATTGTTGTCAAACCCTCAATTTTTGGGTCCTAGCAAAGGCAGACCACAGAACATCACTACTGTTCTTGCTGTTTTTGTCATTGTTATTACCAAACTTTAAGCGTCCAGCGTCACCAGTTTTGAACGGACATGTAGGAAATTTTGTACACATAAACTAAAGGTTATTTCTAACAAACGTTCATGGCCCTTTTGTTAAATTTACCCTGGGATTCCCCCTACACCAACAAAACAGGGGTTTCAGTAAGGAATGTACATCACTGCCATTACCACTAATAGCACACGTTGCATGGATGGCGCAGTCAGTTAGCGATGTGTTCTAAGGGCATAAGGAAACCAAAGGTAGTGAGTTTGTATCACGTCTTGATATTCAGTTTTTTTTTTTTTTTTCTATTTTAAGACATTTATTTTTTATTTACTTTTTTGTTATTTTAATTATGAACCCTTGCCAAAAACCCAATATAATAACTCAAGTCACTGTTTACTGTATTTAAGTATGGAGGATATCTCCTCCATGACCATGTTTTAATAGTGTTAACAAAAAGCCTAGTTTGAAAGGTGCATACATGAAACGTTACAAGCTAAATAGAGGTAACCTCTGTTTAACGCACAGAGCGGTGAGCAAACGCTCCAGTTTGTATTAAAACCTGTTCTTGTACATTGAAACAAATGGTTTACGTGTTGCTATGCCTATGGATATTTTTTTAGATACTTTGATAAAAGGCTAAAGAAGATTCCCGGAATAAATCAAAGGGTACTTGGTCATATCAACATGTTTGTTTACAGCTTACAAACTGTATAGTTAACCAAATAATCAATCAAGTCTTTTGGGAAGTCTAGACATTAGTTATTGGTATTAGGCAAACATAAGCATAATCAGATAAATCATATGTAAATATAGACATTGATACGATAAAAATCATACACAGTATTATAGGAACATAATTTTATTAGAAAACCACTAAAAAAGGAAACCATCTCACATTATTTTGTTTGTTCTGAATTAAAACTATCTAAATCCTGACATTAAAATGCATGGACCAAACACCCATTAAAGTTCACACTATCTGAGCAGTGCAATTCAATTTATAAGAGGGGCATAATCTTACAGTACAACCAATTTTGCTTTGCTGCAACTTCCCTAGATGCATTAGTATGTTTTGATTACATTTCCAGTGGTCCTATAGAGAGAAGTCACTTCCAAATTTGGTTTGATTAGTTTTCTTAACAAATCAAATCGTATTTTGCTTTGCTGCGTGTGGTGATATCAATGGCCAGCAGACTTGAGGGAGACAACAATACAGTTGTAACAACATGCAAACATCATGAATTTTAATCATTATTAATTTCATGCTTTCAGTAGGTCCATGTGGCATACGCTCCACCTCAATTGTTATTTACGGTAGCTCTGAGAAGAAATGTTTGGATTGTAACTTAAAATTTCATGAATTTTCTGACGATAAGTTCCGGAAGATGGGTTAATTTCCGTTTGATTTTTTATCCTTCGCAGTAGTGCAGAATATTGTTGATTTCCAGGAGCCTTTCACAACTCACAGTGGACATGGCACCACTGCATTTCCTACATCATTTCCCAGGCTCAGATTTGCATATTTTTTTATTAGTTACTTTATATCACCAATGTATATACAAGACAATTACAAGTCGAACACAATTTTTGGATGTTTATTTTGGGAGGGTGGAAGGGAGGGGGGGGCACCTTCGGCAGGCCAAAATTAGACAATAGTGCCACCTATTGAGAAATCATACTACAGAGCAACTATCAGATTTGGGTTCCCAAAATCATTCATTATTTTAATAATATTTTATCATCATTGAAATAAAATAAAAATTACATACTCTGTTCTGGTCGATCCAATAAAGGAAATGTTTATTTATCTTCAAAGTGACTTGAGTAATTGATGAATTCTGTAACAAACAAGATAAATAACAATAAGTAGTTAAAAACATAATCATTTTTTCATTTCATTTATTTATCTAGACATATGTGGGACAAAGTCATAATAACAAGATATGTGGGCCTTGTCATGCATTAGTTCACATACTGTACTAGTGCATATGCCCTGCTGTTCCCCAGTCATGCTTCAGTGACCTGTGTTTCGTGCACTTTTATTTGCAAAATACGATGCTGCCCTGGTCATGCTTTTGATCCAAAATTCCAGTCATTAAGATTAACAAATCTCTGTAGTAATACCCAGTACATTGTTCGCTTGTCATTGTAGGCGAACTGCAATGACAGCCACTTCATTGGGTGATGGTGACATATGCCATTTACAATACCTTTAGCAAATGGAAGTAGAAATTTATGGTACTGTATCCCTAGCCGCGGCGTTGATTTTTATCCATAAACATGATCATTAGGACAAATAAAATTAACTGCAAGTTTTACATCTCCACTCTCATCAAATCCTGCCCTCAACAAATTTTGGAGCCTCATAAACAAATTTACTATTTGCTATTAAAAAAAAGCCTATTAATAAGAGTTGGAAACAAATGGTAGTACCATACATTTACATATTTTAATTTTACTATTATTTTTTTTTATGTATCATTTATTAGCCTGTTTACCACTTGTATATAGGATAGTAAATAGCAAATCTAAATACTAAAAATAATTTAAAATTCCAGATGTGAAACTAACAATAAGTTTTATATGGCCTTAAGATGTACTGTGACCAAAATCATAAAAAAATAATTTTTTAATTAACTTGCTCAATTTGTAGTAACATACAAATCATTAACTTGAGCATAGAAATTATTAAATTAAAAAAATGTGTTCACCGATTTTTTTAACTGGATAGTTATAATAAAGATAATAAAACACTTTGAGTGACTGGAAGTGTTTCTATCATTTTTTTGTTGGAAAAATGATGGTTTTATGGGTAAACATTTTTTAAATACACTAATTTCTATGTTCAAGTTGATAATTTTTATGTTACTTCAAAATGGGCAAGTCAATTTCAAAAATGATTTTTATGATTTTTTTTTTGTTTTTTGCAAGGGACAGTACATCTTTGGGTGAAGGTTTCATGAAACAAGGTATTAAGAAAAGTCTCACTAAAAAAAACACTTGAGTTGAATAGGATTATATTGTAGTGTTGATGATTAGAATCTAATCTAAATGATCTAAAGATGCACTAATAGGGTTAAGGTGGTCACTAAGGCAAATCAAAGATTACACTATTTCTGTTCCATCAGTCAATGATCAAGTATATTATTACATTTTGTAGTATAATATGGTTTATGGGTCTCTCCCAAAAGAATGTTGACAAACTTGCAAAGATAACAAAAAAATGCCAGCAAAGTTATTTGTAAACTTGTGCCCGAAATAAGGACAACATGTGAGGAGGTATGCCTATAGACTTGCCACAAGTCTCTTATTTGTTATTATTTTTCTCATTCTGGACAGTGCCACCAACGAGAAAGTTAATTTAGAGATAGACGGAATAAGCGACTTGTAAAACACTGAAATCAGGCACCAGGATGCCAAAAGAATGACGTAATCTTACATTCCGTATTTGGATAAATGGGCGGACCGAAATAAACAATTTCAACTAATCAAATGTTTATATTTTTGGAGCCATGAAACTGAGTCACTCGCGTCGACTAGTTAGGCATGACTAAATTTAAATAGTCCTCCGTAATAAAACGAGCCTAAAATATTTAGAATAGACCCTAGTAAGACTAATTTTGGCAATGGCAAAAACAATTAAGCTTAGACTAGATGGCATACCATACAAATACAACAAAACTTTAACTTTCCAGGAAGATGGCTCAGGCCTCGTCTAGATGGAGTCAGGAGTAGTAGTAGGCCTAGCCAAGTAGTAGAGGCTTGGCGTATTTTTAAGTTCTTACAGAGGCCTACCTTTTTAACAATATTCTACCCTAAAGGCCTAAATCTGTAGCAGCTAGCGGTGAGAAAGGTTCCTAAATATAACCTACGGTTATCAGTAAATGTCGTTCTCAGCAGGCCAGAACTATTATACTAACTGTTTTTAAATAATTCAAGTAGGTTGTCAAAAGGGAGCTGGAGCTTGTTCTAGTCGAGACATCCGCATCTTCAATTTTGAAAATTTACGAAGATTGATTAATATGCATGAGGTTAGCCAATCACGTGATTTACAAAATCAGTCACGCATACGATATCCCACATCAAATTTGATGTGGGAAATTGCACGCATGAATCGTTTGCCCAGGCCCTAATTCGAAAAAAAAAGAAATCGAATATGGAACGCCAATTAAATTAGGTATGGCGCGCACTAAGTGCAATAAAGAGTGAGTAACCTAAAATTAGGGCCTGGAACCCAGGCTAGACCCTAGGCCTACTGTAGACCTATCCTAGTTTAGGTGGTGGTTGCCAGACATTTTACAGGCAGATTTTTCGTAAATCGGGAAACTCTGAAGTGGTTTGTCAAAGACAGTGTTAACAGTTTCATTTCCAAATCTTGGTTGGGGTTTCATTGAGTGATACTCCGGCCAGAGTCTATCAATTATACTATCAAGATCAATCCCTCGCTGTGTATTTAGCTTGTGTCCTTGAGAAATTAAGCAAGGTACTTCAGCCTCCAATTCGTTTTCACATCCGGTTCGGAAAACCGTTACCAAACTGTTTAAAAACTTACAATTATTCAAAACTAACATATTCTTTTTTCCACACCTGGTACGGTCAACTCCTTTGGAGTTCCCGCGTCACCCTCTAACTTCATTAAGCCTGGAAAACGACCCATGTCCTCTATGTGTCCTTCTATATTTCTGGACAAATCATCAAACAAAGCGTATTTGGTAGTGGGGGCATCGGGCGGCACCAGGATAACAACCGGGACCGCTCTGGTAGGCCTATGTTATGCTTCCTCTTTTAAATGAATAAATATATAAGTATAATAAGTCTTATTTGTATTTTTGAACCGTGGAAACCAATTATCATGATGCATTGACATTTTGACGTAATAAAAATCTGAATCTGAATGTTAAGTTATTTTTAAGCATGACATTAATCCTGACAATTTTAAGAATTGAACTAATGCCCCCGAGAATACAAGGTGAGCACTAATCCAAAGCTCCACTTATTAAAAAGCTTAACATAAATAAAATTATTAGTTTTTAATCACCAAGTCATTTTCATTACAGAAATTGATTTCTTCTTCCTCAAGTCATACGACCTTGACATAATTTGAAATCATGATACATCCCATAATATTAACTAATCTATACTGGTATGAACAATAACAACAAGGATGTTTAATGAAGTGACACAGACTATAAAAGCTGACCCCAAGAAAGGTCAATTTCACAAAGTATGCCAAGTGCCTAGTGGGTACTGTAGTAGAAGTAAAATACTGTTTTATGTTGCATATACTGGTGAATATTATCATTTAAGTTTTCATACAGATTTTAATTTTTTATAAATTCAAGAAACAAGTTAAGTTTCAGTTGATGGAAGTCGTACGCTCTTAATGGCAATTTTGTGGTTTTTTTAGCTTCCATTCATTTGAATATATAAATTAAATAAATAAATTTTGCTATATAGCAGGTTTTAACATATATACTTTAAATATTATATTATATTAAATCTATATAATTTTTTGTTTGCTTATTTTCAATGCTTCATTCATACAAGCAAGAAAAGCCTAAGTAAAAGAAAGACTTGGATACCTGCTGTTTTCAGTCATAACAGATCCTGGTAATAATTATGATAGTGTTAGCTAACTACTACTCATTTAGTACACAGTGATCTATACCTACTGTATAATATATGCTTATTAATACACAACACAACTCTACTTGCAAGTCCAAAGTACCAACTGCATAATACAACACTTTTTTTTTATAAGAACCAATAAAATTTTGCCTAGGCTCAGTGTTCTTATTTTTTCGTACAACAACAGAACTATAACTTCTAAGGGTTTTAAAGGTTCAATAGAATTATAGTACAATAACAATGTGTTAAGTCCAAGGTATCAATGATACAGTGAAACAGATTATAGATGTATATATAATAAGAGTATACAGAACACCTAAATACAGTAACAAAGTTAGAATAGTTTACAATGGCAGATATAGGATGTTTTAAAATAGAGAAAGTCTAAAGATTTTGATATCGGTAGTGGATCAAAAGTTTAGAATCAAAACAGATATCATATGGAAATAGGTACTGTAGGCCTACAGAGTTAAGAGAAGATAGAGAAACAAATGAGAATAGGGCATTACTCAAAACTCATCTTTTTTATTTTTATTTTAATTTAATTTTTAATTTAATTTTGGGTTTACTCTTTTTTTTTTAACGCTGGATTTTTATTTATAATGTAAAGCGCATTGAGGCTTTCAGCAAAATGCGATCATTCAAGATCAAACTATTATTATTAGGCAAATATATTGAACTTTTAAAATAATATGGAAAATCACTCTAGTAGAATAGAGACACTTGCCAAGGTTGACAAATATACAATAATGTTAAGCATTGAGGAAACTAAACAATTATCTCTTCCCCTCCCCCAACCCTGAGAAGATAACAGAGGTTGGTTCAAGAGCACAGATATCCATAATAACCAGTTCTTGACTCCCAATCCAATACTGTTAAAGAACATTGGGGACCAAAAGTGTTAGAGGCTTAGTTACACAGAGCACTGAGTGTTGCCAATATTCAGTTCTCCTCTCTGCAAGCATTATTTGACTTCTTTCTCTATCTCATGTCCTTTTAATAAATATCTGTTTTTAAAGTTACATGCTATACATTGTTTTAACTTTTTGTATTGATATTTTATTATGTATTGTTAATGTTATTAACTTCAATTTGTACCTTACATCAAATTGCAATTGTATTTTGTATTTCATTGGCATCAAGGGTTGCCAATTATTAGCTCTCCACTAGTATTATGATAAAGCAACAAGGCTGTCAATGATTAGCTCTT